GGGAGTAGACACTGTGAAAGAAGCCTACTCCCTGTCCCATCTCCTCTCCCCACACCTCCCTACCTTCCTGTCAGATCCCCTGAACTACAGAAACATAGCTGCCATTTGTCAAGTACCTTCCCTAGGCTTCGGATGACACTCAGTGCTCAGGAAATGTATCCATTTTGATGCAAGCAATCTTTTGAAGCTGAGCCAAATTCTCGCCCTTGGTGGGAGGACTGCAGAGGAAAGTTAAGGATCGTGGCTAGCAGACAAGTGATGCAGGGCCACCGAGCTAGAGACCAGCCCAGGTGAGCCCGTGGCCACCCAGGCTCTGAGCCACTACCCTTTCCTTCTTCCCTGGCCCCCACCATCTTTCTGGTTCTTCTCCTGATCCCTCCACACCCTCCCAGCACATGGCCACTGTGTCTATTCACACACACAGACTTTTTCAACCCAAACTGGCTTTAATGAGATTTGTTTTATAAATTAAAAATATGTCTGGCAAAGAACAACACAAGAGTTAGGATCCACACTGGCCTCCCCAGAGTGCATCCTCTCTGACCAGGGGTCCCCTTCCACAGGCCTAGTCCATGAGCCATCCATTCCTTAGTACTAGGAGCCTTCCCACAGCCTATCTCTTGGCCTTCTCTACTTCCTGTGACTTCCTGGAGCTGGTCATCCCTTGACGCCTCTGGTCCCCTAGCCTTAACATAGGCCCCTCCCACCCTCTGGTTCCTGCTGGTTATAACAGGTTTGATTTTCAGTGCCCATGAACTATCAGCATGAACTCCCCGTGAACTATCAGCAGCTGCCTCAGGTGGAGCCCTCTGACTTGACCCCTCCCCTGTCATTCCCTACTCTAGAAAGCCCACAGTCCCAAGTCCCTGAGGTCCCACTCTTCTGGACCTTGCTGTACAGTGCTGTGTCTAAGCTGTGGCCTTTGCTGCCACTGCCACCTGTGGAACCAGGTTCAGGAAGGACCAAGCCCTGTGGCTTGGGAGCAGGCACAGGCTTCGAGCTGCGAGGAGGTGGCACAGCATAGTCATCCGTAGCAGGGTTGTAAGGGAGCTCATAGCCTTCCTCCTTCGCCCGAGCCTGGCACCACCATGCATCCTTGGGCTCCTGAGGCAGATCATAAAGGCCCCGGGGAGGGGCTGGGGCCAGGCCCTCAGGTTCATCATAGATGGGGTCCTCTTTGGAGTCCGTCAGCTTGGTTTTCTGCAGCTGCTGCTGCACGTGCCCATACAAGTCCCAGTACAGAGGTTTCTTTGCCTGCAACCCCTCCCCTGCCCTAGCAGGGGTGCTGCCCAGGGGGTCCGAGTAGAGAGAGTCCTGAGAAGGGCCTGGGAGAATTCGCAGGGAGTCTAAAGGCTCAGCATATAGGGCTGGGGGGCTGCCCAGGGGCTCCTGAGGAACAGGAGAGGAAACCACCTTCCCCTCGGCCTCCCCTTCATGGGAGTCAGTTCTGAGGACATCTTGTCCCTGTCCCACCTTTCCTTGGGCTTTCTGCTGCTGGATGGCGGCCTCAACTGCCTGAAAGATGTCATTTCCCTGTGCAGTCTGGAAGGTGAAGGTCCCAGGGCCAGAGGGGCAGCGGCGGCCCGCTTCAAAAGAGAACATTACCTGGGGGTGTGAAGGGAAACACGTTATGAGTGCCACAAGAGATGCCCACAGGTCTGCCCAAGTTAGTGTACCTGCAGAGAGGAGACCACCTGGGGACGGAATTGGTGGCTTACAGCTACCCTACACCCTCTCTGACAATCATCCTCCCAGAAAGCCCCTGTACCTTGTCCCGGCCATAGCGTCGCAACAGAGTGTAGGGCCAGAAAAGGAGCGGCTTCAGGATTTGACTTTGGGCCCCCAAAGTCAGGAGGGTCAACTTCTCAGCCTCCACCCTCAGTATGTAGGAGCCTTGCAGGCCGCAGCGTTCAGAAGCCTCGGTCCTCTGCGTGGTTACCCAGAACTGGGAGCCTGGAAGGAACACACAGAAAGGGGAAGGAGCGCTGGGGCAGGCTAGGGACTCGGTAGACTCCAACACTAGCTCCCCAAGAGCACATTCTTTCCCCCACTTCATTCATGCCAGGCATCTACCTTCCCAGGTGGGGCTGTACAGTGAATTTTCCAGCATCTCCAAGGCAGAAAACTTAGGCGGGTTCTCCGTCTGCGCCAAAGCCCAGCCGCCTTTCTGCGGAAAAAGGCACATCAAGAACCTTATATAGAATTCCCTTGGGTCTGGAGTAGGTCCGGTGCCGCTGTAATAGTCCCATTCTCGCAGGGTCCCTTAGGCCCAGGGCAGCTCACCCCCAACCCCTCACCGGAAAGGCGTTTCTGCATAAAGTCTGCACCCAGGCAGCGCTGGACGGGGCGTCTGCCGCCAGCAGGTGCGAGCGCTGCGCGGTGTCCAGGCGGAAAGCAGTGGCGCCGGGCTCTGGGGGACTCTCCACAGACACAGGGGCCACGCTCACACACTCAGCCAGGCGGATCATCTTGCAGTCAAGACGGCGAGAGCCGCCTCGACCCCCTCCAGAGCTCGACCCCTTGTGGTCAAAGAACTCCAGCCGCGCTACGCCGTGAGGACTAGCGGGGTAGAGCACAGCCCAGGTTTTCCTCCACCTCTGGGAAAAAACGAAAGACGCGGTAGTGCGCGGCAGCACGCGCCCCACGGGGAAGAAGAGACCCCCCATGCAGGCCGATCTGAGCCTGTGGCTTCCCAGGCAGGGACACTTTCCCAAAGATAATGCCATCCCAACTCCGCATCAAGGAGGGAACAGCCTGGGGCTTTCAAGGGACCGTCGTGGGGCTCTACAATTGCCCTCGCGGCGTTCCGACCTGCTTCCGGCCCCTTCCCTCTTTCTGGATACTTTCACCCACTTCTAGTCCAGAGGGGTTTCTCCATCCCCCCACGCCACACACAGACACATACACACACTACCTTGGTCCCAAAGCGCTGACTCTGCAGAAAGAGCGGACCCTCCATCACAGCCCCTTCCATGGCCCGGGCGGTTCCTTCCGTGCTTCCTGGCCCGAGGGCGGGGGTGGGGCGGGGCGGGGCTGCAGGGTGCCGGAGGCGTGCCCGCTCCTCCTTGGCCCTGCGGCGATGATGGGGGTTGGAGGAAGAGGAGCCTGCAGGAAGAAGTCAGTGTGCCCAGATAAACTAACGGGGGCCTTTATCCTATCGTTCGCACAGTGGTGCCACTCAGGGAAGCTGTGATTGCCAACCAGAGGCCCGTGGTGCCTGGGAGGTGGGGGGCTGAGACTGATGTCATATGCTTAACGTGACATCAGAGTGAAGGCCGTGACATCATCCGCAGGCCCCCGGGGCACCACAACGACCAAGGGGGCCCTTGGAACATTAGTTCCCCTTGCGGGACCTGTTCCCACGGCCCAGCCCTGGAGCTGAACTGGACTGTTGATACTCTGCCTAGCGGGGGATGTGAAGGAACGGCTGGGGGCTGGAAAGTTTCCCGCCTCCACAGGGGCCCGATCCCGAAACCGTTTGCAAGTCCAGCACCCTGACCGCGTCTGACGGACCTCCAACCTGCGGGGGGGAAAAAAAGAAAGCTTCATTGAGTCGGGAGAGGGGTGGGGGGTAGGGGGACGGCTGCAGCCAGCTCCACGGGGGAGGGGAAGATCTAGAGGAGGGAACTGGCCTGGCTGGAATGGAGGGAGAAAGCGGAATGTGGGAGGGCTCTAGGGGATGTGGGAGGGGCCAACGAAGAGGGGGGAGGAAGGGGGGGTCCAGTCTCCCCTGGCCGAACAATTTTTTTTTGGGAAGTCCTAAAACTAATCTCCAGGACCAGCACTCTGCTCCCAGCCCCTGGAGCTCTCTCTGCCTAGGAGAAGAAGGTAGGGGAGTCACTGCAGGCCAGGAGGAAAAGGAGTTGGGGATGGAGAGGACGGTGGACCAGAGGGAAAGTTGATTTGGGATGGAGTCAGTCGGAAAAGCCGACCAACTGACAGTTTTCTTATTGCTAAAGGAGCGAATCGCAAGAGTGGCGAGCTAAGCAGATCTTGGGGATGGAGGCTTCAGGGTGTAGTTAGGAGGCCCTAAACCAGGGCTACCAAGCCAAATGCCCCCCAAACAAAGCTGTCTTGTCTGAGTTGGGGGAAGCAGTTCTGGGGGCCCCCTTGCTGTGGAGGGCTGTTTTCAGCCTTGGATAGAGAAGGCCTGAACTAAGGAGCCAGCCCTAGCTTGTGGTTGCCCGGTGACAGAAACAGTACTGTTAGAGGAAGATTGGACAAACCCTGCGGGGCTTGAACCTAGCTTTCCGGGAGCCCCCTGACCCTGCAGGATATTTATGAGTCCATGTGCTAGGGAGGGTGGCTGAAAGTCCTCCTTCTCTGTTTAGCCTCAGCCTGTCTGTCCTGCCTGGGCATCTGCTTCCGCAGAAAACTGCTCATAGTCTTCTCATTCATGGTTCTCAGATGGCTGTGGCTGTTCTCCCAGGCTCTCCGCGCCTGTACTGCTGACTGAGCCTGCTGCTGCAGGGCTCCTCCTGTCATTTCTCCTGTGCCTGCACTGTGGCCTTTATTCCCTCTCCTCGTGGCTTGTGCCTTCTGTGTCACCGCCCGCCCATACTATGCGTTTGGGTTTGTATCATGTCTATCCATACTCAATGTGTCTGTCACCTAGTCTGTGTCCTTCTGGTTTTTCCCTCCATTCCCACAGTCTCCCTCCTTCCTCTCACATCCTGTCAGTCTGGGTCACCCTCTCTGTGTGTCTCTTCCCAATCCCTCTGTTTATCTGGACCATCCTCACACTTGGCCTATAACCCCACACCCAGCCCATGAATGGGAGTAAATGAAGAGGAAGGGAATGATGATAATGATGCCAAACTAGGGAAGGACATTGTGGGACAGAACTTATAACAGTTTTGTTATTTGCAAAGGGAAAGGCGGGCCTCCCCCCACCCCGCACCCCATAACTAAGTTTCTAAGGCTGTGCCTGTTTTGTTCCCTATCTCATTTAGTGTCTCTCCCTCTTTGTCCCTTAGTGCCCCCCTCGGGCCTTGCCTGCCATGAGACCTGTCAGTGTGTGGTATTGCTACTCCTGGGGACTGCTGCTGCTGCCCTTGCTGTGCGGCTCCAGTGTGGGGTCTCCATCCCCTTCCACTGACCCAGAGAAGAAGGCGGGAAGCCAGGGGCTGAGGTTCCGACTGGCTGGCTTTCCTAGAAAGCCCTATGAGGGCCGTGTGGAAATACAACGTGCCGGTGAATGGGGCACCATCTGCGATGATGACTTCACACTACAGGCTGCCCATGTCCTCTGCCGGGAGCTGGGCTTCACGGAAGCCACGGGTTGGACTCATAGTGCCAAATATGGCCCAGGAACAGGTGAGTGATGCTTCGGGCTAGCCCAGACATTACCTAACGTAGCTCAAGACACAGAAAGAAGAACACCATGATGGCACAGCCATGGGGACGTGGTACACCGAGAGTGGATAGAATTAAGTAAATCCATGGATAATAAACCATCTAACAGTGATTTCTGGGCCATATGCCCTGGGGCTAGCCTGGGCTTCCCATGAGCCTCCAATGCTCTATGTGCACAAAGAAGGGGGGCATTGATAAGTTCTCTTCTGCAAAGATTCTGCAGAGCCATGCACACAGATGACCCAGTGCAGGTGACCCCTGAATGATCCAGATGCAGCTAACTTGATGAGAATACGAGAGCTGGTGAATGGTGTCTGCATGTCCCATGGCTAGAAGGGGTCATATACTACAGCTGGCAAAATCAGGATCCAGGCTAGAGCTAAAATGAGCAAGCTGGAACTCAGGGCACAAGTACGGGTGTGAGCATTGGGACACAATCCTCTGAGGCTGGACGTGCGCGGACCAGAAGGACCCACAGTGGGACTGGTCGGCAGATAGACATGCAACCTGCTGTTGTGTTGATGCCCCTGTGCCCAAGGGCTCTACCCCTTCTGAGATAGAGTGCCACTTGGAGATGGCACACCTGGAGAGGGACAGTAGAAAGTGGAACTGCTGGGTGGGTGTAGCTCAGAGGTAGTCCTCTAGAGAGAAAGAGGGAGGAAAGGGGAGACAGAGATGGGAGAGAGAACAGTGAAACCACTCTCAGAAGCCACGTTTCAGGAGGCATGGCTATAAAAAAAAAAAAAAAAAAGTCTGGCCCAGAAACAAACAAGCCTCAGTTAGCAATTACGTGTTCATATTCAGGAAGGCCGGTCATGGCTGAAGGGTTTTCTGGGTGGCATCGAAGGACTGAATCAGACCTGGTTGGGGAAAGTTGTAAAGAGTCACAAGGACTTTCTGGTGATTCTGTGGCCTTGTGAGGCAGAACGGTAAGCTTTGTTCGACTAGGTGAGGCATCCTGAACACCGGCTGTGATGCATACCTTTGAGAAGGTCCCTCCCAGTTCTGAGTGGTCAACGATATTGAATATGATCTGGAAAGTAAAAATAGGGTTTCTGTGGCAGCAGGCAACATAGGCATACAGAAAAATGCCACAGGGAAGAACGCCAGAGTGAAGTAAAAGAATCTAGGATTCCCAAGTCTCAGTGAGAAGTCAGACTCTTAGGTAAGTTATATCATATTTGGAGCCCCCGTCTGTTTGCATAAAGTCATCATCTGTCAGCTCCAGTCTAATGATAAGTGTGTACATACTACGGCAGAGCGTTTGGCAATAATAGAGACTTAATTATAGCTACTATTGAATGAATCCTTATTGATGAGAATTCAAACATTGATTCTTGGTTGGTGTTGTTTTAATTCATCAATTTTTCAGTGTCCCAGATCACCACCAACCTTGTATCAACCTTATACCCTCTTTCCTCTTCCCCTCCAGAGTCCCCTGTCCCTTCTCACAAAAAAGGGAGGGGGCAGAATTATCCTTAAGGCCACATGAAGCCACCAGCTTCCTCTGCAGCCCCATTACTCCTTCACCCTTCTTCCTCAAGCATTTCTCTGTCTGCTCACCTCCCTTTCCACAGGCCGGATCTGGTTGGACAATCTGAGCTGCCGTGGGACTGAGGGAAGTGTGACAGAATGTGCCTCCCGGGGCTGGGGAAACAGTGACTGTACCCACGATGAGGATGCTGGGGTCATCTGCAAGGACCAGCGCCTTCCTGGCTTCTCAGACTCCAATGTCATTGAGGTCAGTAGTACACACACACACACATACACACACCCAAAAAGCTGTGGGATGGCCAGATGTGGTTAGAAGAGATATAAAGGGATCCCATAAACCTTTATGGGGTAATGTAAATTTCTGGGAAACTTGGAAGGTTTGGGCAAATGAGATTCTGCTGCTCTGCAAGATACAGTTCTAAAAACTGCGTATGAGTGCTTTGCAGCCATGTGTGTCTGTGCACCCGGTGTCTGCCTAGTGCAGGCAGAGGCTAGAAAAGGCCGCTGGATCCCATGGAACTGAATTGCAGGTGGTTGTGAGCTGCCGTGGGGTCTTGGGAACTGAGCCCCAGGTCCTCTGGAAGAGCTCTAGCTCCCGAATCCAACTATTTTAAGTATTCACATTCAAGTTACTAAACCTGGCACGAGCCTCTCCAGTTCATTCCTGGTCACCCGTCACTCCCTCCAACGTTGCTGCTCTCCTCGGTATCTTTATACTTTCTCCTCGTCCTATGACACTTCCTGTGAAGCTTGCCTCCTGCTTCAAGCAGACTTTATTATAGCTTCCCTTTCTAAGTGCCTTTGGGCCCTGTTATTATCTCTCGGGCAAGGCACACACTGCCGCCTGGGGCACATCCCCCTGACAGGCAGTTCCCCTGGCTTCCTCCTTAGCCTTGTCTCGGTGGTCCCAACAGTAGATACAACCGGGGTTCCTTCAGGGTGGCAAGGCATTGCTACTGGGATTTTTATTCTTTTACTTATCTATCTATCTATCTATCTATCTATCTATTCTAACCCTGCCTCTGGTCCCATCTCAGGTGGAGCATCACCTGCAAGTGGAGGAGGTGCGGCTCCGACCAGCTGTGGATTGGGGCAGGCGACCCCTGCCTGTGACTGAGGGTCTGGTTGAAGTCAGGCTTCCTGAAGGATGGTCACAAGTGTGTGATAAAGGCTGGAGTGCTCACAACAGCCACGTGGTCTGCGGTATGCTAGGCTTCCCCGGAGCAAAGAGAGTCAACATTGCCTTCTACAGGTGCGGGGTTCGGGGGTGTTGGCAGACTTTGGCGAGGATGATGGGTACTGGGGGGGGGGGGCAGGTCTAAGAGAGGGAACCCGGGAGTCTGCTGTGCCACAAGGCAACAGGGAAACCAACCTCGAAGGCTCTCCTACCCAGGATAGGAAACAGGCAGATAGGCGAGTGGCAGGATGAGAGGACGTGAGGGTGACGTCATCGGTCGTCAGGCAGATTTCTCGAGCCTGGGCCTTGGAGTCTCACAAGTTCAGAGTTCACAGAGGGTGCGGCCGCCTGTCGGAGGAGGAGGCAGAGGAGGCGTAGGCGGTGCCTGCGGGTGTCTTCTCCAGGCTGCGCCTAGGGCCTCAGGAACTGGGACTGGCCAGCTCCGAGTCACCCACCCTAGTGAACGGTTCTGTGCAAAGGGCGGCTTCCTTCCTGAAGCATCTCAATAGTTTGGATAAACAGCCCCTACTAGCCTGGCAGCCAGTTGGAGAGTTGCAGGCCCCAAATGCTCGCCTTCTTCGGCTCTTACTTATTTCACTTGCTGCCAGGCTCCTTGCCGGCCCGGTGGCTTTCCATTGAACACACTGCCACTGCTTAAGATGTGATCCAACGGGGAAGTGTGTTGTAGAAGTGCCAGTCTTTGAAGAAAGTTGGCATCTGCCTCATGTTGAGACAGGAAACCGTTTCAGGTCTTATCTCTAATACCGATAAAGCTGCCTTTTGAACCTGAATATACGCTGGGCAGAAAGCGGCGATAATGTAACCAATATTTCGTTCTCTGGTCTCTAATGAAATTATGGGGGATTTCTGTAGTTTTTCTAAACTCCAGCTGGCTGTTCTCGCAGCAGCCTCCAGCCTCCAATTCAGTACTCCTTCACAGAAAACGCTCAGAGCGGCTTGAGCGCAATTTTATTATTTCAATAGTTGTAGATCGCTAAGGAGGACCACGTGTTCCTGAAGTGCTCACAAACTTTCTGTTTAGCAACTTCCTCTCAAAGAGCATTTGTCTGTAGAGTAAGAAAATGGTTTTTTTAAAGTCAACACATTCTCTAATATCCATTCATTTCCATATTTATTGGAACTTTCTTTGTCGTGGTACCCAAACACATCTTTCGGCCCAAAGGCAGACAGTTGAGCTGTCTGCAGACTGACACCATTTTACAAAAGCTGTGCTGTGCCCTGGATGTCATCCAGGCTGTCTTTCAGGACCCAAACACTAGGTTCTAAAACAGTGGTGGGATTTAAGTTCAAGCTTTTCCAGGAGAAGAGGATGGAGTGAAACAAGGGCTAGAGAGTCGCTCATCCAGCATAGTTGATGTCCCACTCTGTGACGGCTTCTACTGTAGACTTTGGAGATTCCACAGTGAGCACAGACCAGGGGACAACCAGAAAATAAGTGAATTTATAAAATGTAAGGATGGTAGTCTTACCGTGTCATGGCTTCTTACTCAAAGAATTGAAAGAGCACACACAAATAGCCACATGGGAAAGGATTTTATTCTAATGTGAAACGTATGGGACAGATGGACTGCAAGAGGCCAGCAGGCCGCATGAGCCAGAGTGCTCCAGGATGCCCGAGCCAGAGTGCTCCAGGATGCCCGAGCCAGAGTGCTCCAGGACGCCTGAGCCAGAGTGCTCCAAGATGGAGCCAGAGTGTTCCAGGATGCCTGAGTTAGATTCTCCAGGACGCCTGAGCCAGAGTGCTCCAGGTCACCTGAGCCAGAGTGCTCCAGGATGCCTGAGATAGAATGCTCCAGGACGCCTGAGCCAGAGTGCTCCAGGACGCCTGAGCCAGAGTGCTCCAGGACGCCTGAGCCAGAGTGCTCCAGGCCGCCTGAGCCAGAGTGCTCCAGGCCACCTGAGCCAGAGTGCTCCAGGATGCCTGAGATAGAATGCTCCAGGTCACCTGAGCCAGAGTGCTCCAGGCCGCCTGAGCCAGAGTGCTCCAGGACGCCTGAGCTAGAATGCTCCAGGACACCTGGTCACTGCCCAGGACTTCCTTTTGGGGTCTGGGAGAAGAGCTGGTTGTTAAGGGATGAACCGTGGGCGATTTCCTATTTTGATTGACAGGCTTGAGTTATAGAAGCCTTTGTTTACTGCTCATATCTTTTCCCATGATGCATCTGATTTTAATCTTATGCATACCCAATCATGGCATAGGCATGCAATGGTAAACTGTGGCCTTTCCCTGAAAGTATACTCAGAGAATACAGTTTGCCTGCCTAGGCTGGACAGGTTCACTTCCCTAGTTCCTGAATATGTTCCAGGATGTATTCACGCCAAAAAGGGAGTTACTAAGGGTTGCTAGGTCAGCCGTATGCCAGAGTGACCTAATTGCTTTGTTCAGAGATGGATATGCATGCAGCAAGATGCAGGCAGAGGTTCCAGGGTGCTACGTGGTCTGTTGAGAAAGGGGGTGTGTATGTATATCTCAAGGCAATTGAGACCAACTGCTAAGCAATCCCTAGGTTTGCCTGTCTCTGTAGTGTGCAGGGAGTAAAGGGTAAGGAAGTGGGAGCGGCGAGGGCACAGCTATCCAGACGTGTCAGAGAGGATGAGGAATTAGGAGAATGGGATGGCGAGAAAGCATTTGTGGCTGGAGCTAAGAGGCGAGGGAGAACGTGGTAGGTGACGTCATACAGGAGACGGTAGAGGAGGACTGGCGAGCTAGATCAAGAAGGGGAGACTGTGGCTTCACTCTGTGAGGTGCGGGACATTAGAGGATTTTAAGCAGAGGTTTTGTTTTGCTCTTTTTTAATTTTTATTACCTCTTCACTTAATTTGAGTGCCACTGTGAAGACATGGGTGTCAGAGGGTGGTGTGCCAGAGAAGGCTCTCTCCCATGTGGGTCCCAGGGACTGAACTCAGATTGGCAGTTAGACATCAAACTCCTTTATATGCGAAGCATCTCACCTGTCCTCTTCCCAGAGCTGTTTTTGTTTTGCTTTTCTTTTTGTTTGAGATTACATCTCATTTTTCCCTGGCTTGAGCTCCTGATCCTTCTGCCCCCACCTCCCAAGTACTGAGGTTACGGGTCTGTCTATCTCCATGCCCAGCTGATGTGTGGCATTTGACCCATTTCTAATCATTACTTTGACTTTGGATTGTTTTATTTATGTTTTTTATTATTATGTGTGTATGTGTTTATGTTGCGTGCACACATATGTGTATGCATGAGTGTGTGTACGTGTAGACCAACAATCAACTTCAGGTGTTTCTTTTTTCAACTAAATTGCAGATGTGCTCCACCATGCCCAGTTTTGCACCAATAACTTTCAAACTTGTTTTGGTGTTCTAGAATATGTGAAAGCTACAGAATTAAAAAAAAAAAAGAACAAATGTATAGCTATCAGAATTCTTTGCTGCTCTTGTGCAGGTTATGAAACCGAGGCTCTCGGAGCTTCTCTGTTGTGTCTTTATAAAAGACAGCCTCCTTATGTAGCAGTTGAACTGGCGAGCCCTCTGCCTCAGCTTTGAGTCCTGGGAATACAGGCTTTTCCCACTGTGCCCAGTTTAAGAGGTCACCTTTTCGTTCATGTCACTATGGCGCATGTTTCCTGACCTCTGTGCGAGGTGTGGAGAGTATAAAGATGATAAATCATAAGGGAGGTAGTTGGGTACCAGACCACGGATCTGCAGGCCCTGCTGGACCTTCCTACTAAAGGCAATGGGGAAAAGACAGTAACGAGTTTGGTTGTCATGTTATTTTGTTTGGGGGAGGGACAGGGTATCTACATAGTCCTAACTGTCCTGGAACTCACTGAGGGTGGCCTCAACTCACAGAGGTCCACCTACCTCTGCCTCCTAAGTGCTGGGATTAAAGGTACCACCACATCATGTGACAGTAGAGTGTTTCTCTGAAGCTATGCATGCTGGTATTCACCCATACACCCAGCAGCCTGGAGCCTAAGGCAGGATGATCTGGAATTCTAGGCCAACTTGGAGACCCTGTCTCCAAAAGAGAGGAAAAGGAGTGTTTTAATGAAGAGGTCTATGAGATTACATGATCAGGCTGTGGCTCTATTTTTTCAGATGGGTTTTCCTAATAAAATAATCACAGGGCTGGAGAGATGACTCAGTGGTCAAAAGTACTTGATGTTCTTTCAGAGGACTTGAGCTAATTCCCAGCTTCCACATCAGGTCCCACAAACACTTATAACTCTAGCTCCAGGAAATCCAATGTCTTCTGGCTTCCATGGATGCCTGCACATGCGCACACACACACATAAGTAAATTATTTAACTTTTTAATGAAACAAATGCCTTTTAAAACAATTACAAGCTGGGTCTGTAGCACGGGCCTTCAAAGCCATCCTTGGCTACATTTAAATTTGAGGCCTGCCTCAGCTACATAGTGAGACCTATCTCAAAAAACACAAGGACTGGAGAGATTCAACAGTTAAGAGTACCAGCTGTGTTTCCAGACCACACAAGGTTTAAGTCCCAGCACCTACATCGTGGTTCACCACCATCTAGAACTCCGGTTCTGGAACTCTGATGCCCTCTTCTGATCTCTGAGAGCATCAGGCACACACATGGTACACAGATATATGTGCAGGCAAAATACCCACACACATAAAACCAAACTCACAAAAAAATTTTAAAAAGTCATACCCGATGATAGCACGTGTTTGTAATCATAGTACTTGGGAAACTCGGGCAAGAGAATTACGTCATGCCTAACAAAAGCATGATAGCACGTGTTGTTTGTAATCCGTACTTGGGAGACTCAGGCAAGAGGATTCCAAGTTCAAGGCCAGCCTGGACAGCCTTCAGGGGAAAAAAAGCAAACCAATAAAAATGCACATATAAAATCCTATGCACCTTCACACAGTATACTATGCCAGAATATGTAAGTACTGAAGAGAAGTGACAGGGCAGGAATATGGACAAAGAAATGCTAACCAAGATGACAACAGGGAGTCACGAACCTCTTCAAAACCAGATGAGGCCTGCGCTTACCAGGCCCTGCTCTATCCTGTAACCCTGGTGTGAGACACTGGTTCAAGTGTTAGACCAGGCAGGACTCACATCAAGACCCCAACCCTGTACCCCACCTCACTGCACGCCCCCACCCCCCACCAAAACAAAGCCCTACATAGTATTGGACAGGACAAAGAGTGGCCATAATTAAAGTCTTCGAAATTAGAGAGACAATAAGGATAAATTGAATCTAGGAAACCTCCTGGAGAAGGAAGGAAGTCAATTTTTGAGGCCAATTTAAAAGATTGACTTCCCTGCAAGCACCTTTGGGGGATGAGCTCAGCTTGTGAATGATCAGGCTTATGGGACTGGAACCTGGGCAGGAAGAAGACTCACAGCCAAACCAAGCTAACATCTTCAGATATGTGGTTCTCCATCCATGCTCCAGAAGTCTCTGGTCCTTGGAGAGACCATCCAAGAATCAGGAATAACACATACACACACACATACACAGATACACACATATACAGACACATACACACAAACACACACACAGAGAGAAAGAAACAAAAAGGAGTAAAAGAGGTGCACTTAGCTTCCCTAGGTCTGACCCAAGCTATTCCTATGTCCTCCAAATCCCAATGGCCCCTCTGTAGTCAGACTTTCCTTTTGGGCCACCATCTCACAAATAACAACACAGAGGCTTATTATTGATTATGAAAGGTTTTCCTTAGCTTGGGCTTTTTCCCAACTAGCTCTTGTAACTAAAATTAACCTGTTTCTGTTAATCTATGTTCTGCCATGTGGCTCAGCTACCTCTCCTCTGTACTGTAGGGCCAACTTTAATGTCTCCCTGGCATCTCATGCACACCTAGATTCATCCAGAGTTCCTGTCTCTGCCAGGAAGTCCTGCCTATTCTCTCCTGCCTAGCTATTGGCCATTAAGCTCTCTATTAAACCAATCACAATGGCACATCTTCACAGAGTGTAAACAAATATTCGGCAACACCCATCCTCTGGACTCCCCTAGAGTTTTCCACCAACCTACAGACCCAGAAGCCCTCATTCCTCATCTTTTTTTTTAAAGCAGGGGTTTTTTTTTTTTTTTTTTTTTTTTTTTTTTTGGTTTTTTCGAGACAGGGTTTCTTTGTGGCTTTGGAGCTTGTCCTGGAACTAGCTCTGTAGACCAGGCTGATCTCGAACTCACAGAGATCCGCCTGCCTCTGCCTCCCGAGTGCTGGGATTAAAGGCGTGCGCCACCACCGCCCGGCAAAGCAGGGTTTTTCTATGTAACAACTCTGGCTGTCCTGGAACTCAGTTTGTAGACCAGGCAGACCTCAAACGCACAGAGATAGGCCTGCTTCTACCTCTTGAGTGCTGGGGTTAAAGGTGTGTGCCATCACCACCCAGCCCAGCTCATTTGTCCTGATCCACTTTCTAACAGTCTTGGTACTAGGACACTGTTCTGAGTCCACGGCTTTCACTGAAGCTCACCCCCGTTCATGGGCTAGGACAGCCTATAGGGCCTTAGCAATAGCTGATGACATCACGCTACTTTCGGAAGCTCTCTATTGGGAAAGGAATCTTGCCCCTGGTTCTGGGTGCATTGGCCTTTTCCACTTGGTTCTGCACCAATCCTGACTTGATCTTGTCTTACCCTCACAGAAAGTTGAGGAAGCGAGCAGCCCGACGCCCCAAGCCCCTTGGAAGGTAAAGGGGCAAGAGCCCCGGGACCTCCTGGCAGCCCCCTGGGGCTTCAGGAGGTGGATGGATGGATGGAAAACCTATCCATATCCATCCCAGAACCCAACCTATGGATTAGGGATGTAGCTGGATAGTGGTTACTCCCAAGGGAGGGAAGGAGGGAGGCAAGCATGGGAGTGGGGTGAGCTTTGATCTTAGGAAGCTTTAATCTTAGGGAGTTGTGTGGGAACAGCTGGGGAGATACTGTGTCTTTCTCTTTCTCCCAAAAGGCTTCCATTGCAGCCTCAGCCCCTGCGTTCTTCCTCCTCCCCACCTACCGCCACTCCCTTGGTCCTTTACCACTTCCACTCTCTCCTCCCTTGACCTTCAGCTGACCTCCTCACCACTCCCTCACCTGGATTTCCGTAACTGGATTTGCCTTCAGTGGCACCTATCCCAGTGAGTGTTGGGAGTTGCTAAGTGTATGCCCTCCGGTGGCATCAGCCATCTCAGTGCGCAGGGAAGTCAGTTGCCCTTCCTGTCCTAGACACAGAACGCTTCATTTTCCTGGACCATAACCTCAAGCAGCACCTCTGTCAACGTCTTTGTCCTTTTTGCAGAGCAATCAACAAGTTTAAAGTCAAACACAAGCCCCGGGTGGGCAGGGGCCCAAGCAAGAGGTAAATGAGTTTGGGGTTGGAATCAGAGAAAAAGCAGGGCGGGCAGGGGCAGGGCTGTAACCAGGGAAAAGGCAGGGTGGGCAGGGGCAGGGCTGTAACCAGGGAAAAGGCAGGGTGGGCAGGGGCAGGGCTGTAACCAGGGAAAAGGCAGGGTGGGCAGGGGCAGGGCTGTAACCAGGGAAGGGGCCTAGACAGGCCTGTTGGACTGTGGAACTGTTGAGAGGCGGAGTGGCAGCCGTGACAGTCACCTTCCAGATCCTTCTAGAAATGTGAAGTAAGGTGCTGTAATGCGAATCTCTGGGGATTGTTAATCATAGGGCTTTTGGTTCTTGCCTTGTGTACTTGTCTTCCTCCTGTGAGTTCCAGTAGAATCTAGCCCTCTGTGCCATGCCGGGCTCTCCCCATAAGGTCACAGTGCAGCCAAGAGATCAGTTTTCTAGTCCTGCTTTATTCGATGAATGTTTCTTATTTCCATTTTTTTAAAAGTAAATATTACCAGGGGATGGAGAGATGGCTTCGTGGTTAAGAGTGCACACTGCTTTTCTGGGGAATCTGAATTTAATTCCTGATACCCACATTGGGCAACCCGTAAAAGCCTTTATCTTCAGCTCCAGAGGATCTGGTGCTGCTGCCCTCCTCCCACTTTCTCGGGCACAAACCCACATGCATTTACACATAATACTTTACGTTTACCTGGTGTGGAGGGTGGCATATGGAACCTCTCTGAGAATAGCTTAAGAATCACGGCTCCTGCCTGGCTACCTGCTAATAGTTAGGCATCCGGTCCCATAGTTTCTTCCTGGGCTCCCTCAGAATTCAAGGGAGTAGGAAACTTCCAACCCATTCAACTCTTCTCTAAAAGGCAGACAGCACCACTAAAATCTCACTGATAACTTGTGACTGAGGACCAGTGAAGGCATCCTTTCCATTGTTCCCTCCTCAGCAAGCTCCCGTGTTCCCCGGTTACCTCCCTGTCCCCAAAATGGTATACCTCACCCATGGGCTTCTGTCCCTGGTAGCTGTCGACGAGCTCAGGATTTGAGGAGTGTAAGTTCTTGCAACCGTCTTTGGCTTGAGTCATCTTTTCCCACCATAACTGTCCTTCCTGACCCCCACATTAAAGTGAACACTTTATAACCATTTTGTATCGGTTATAGGGAGTGAGTGAGCGCGAGTGTAGAAGTTAGATGTCTGTTCCTGTGATTTCAGCCAAACAGGACACCGACAGTACCTGTTCGCTTTGGTTTTCAGGATCCATTTATCCTGGGCTTCTGAAGGTATTCTGTAAAGTGTCCTGCTTCCCTTGCCTGTTTTGTGTGTGCGGTTTTTGTTTGTTTGTTTGTTTTCTGAGAAATGGTTTCTCTGTGTATCCCAGGCTGTTCTGGAAGCCCCTTTGTAAACCAGGGTGGCCTCAAACTCAGAGATCCTTCTGGCTCTGCCTCCTAAGGACTGGGATCAAAGGCATGTGCCACCACTGCCTGGCCCTTTGCCAAATATCCTTTCCTCTTGTCTTCCTAGCCAATGGCTTTCAATTGTCAAATTCCCTCTTTTCTCTAGTGTCAGGGATAGGGCACCTGACTACAATAATTCCCTTCCTCCCTGAGCCCGTTCAGCCTCCAGGACTGGAGTCTTCCTCCAGTCACCTAGCTGAAGCCCCCGTTCTGTTGGTATCTACAAGACCCCCTCTTCTCAGACATCTCTACGATGTTTCTGAGTGTTAGCATCTCTAATTGTGTCCTGTTTCCCTGCTCAAATGGCTGTGCTCAGTTGTAATTGCACAAGCATGAACTACCTCATTACAGACATCTGCAGCTCAACTCGGGTCTTGGGTCATGTTTGCCACTGGGGTGTTCACAGCCACCTTCCCTCCACCTTTCGTCTGTCTTGCATCTGTCTTTGTTCCAGAGAGGGTCACTGCTAGTCCTTCATACTGTTGTCTTCTAGTCTATTCTTGCCATAGCGGCCTATCATATTATGATAGGGCTTCTAAACTGGAAGCCCTCTGACCTCTGAGAAGCCATTTGGAGGCAGACTTCCTCAGTCCTCCACATCCTGGCTCATTGTCATTTGGCTTGTTCATTCACAGCATGACAGAAAGGCCCGCTCACTGGCTATTCAGGCCAGTTTTGTGTCAGCCACTCCTTCTGAGCCATCTCTTCTCTCTTCCCATTCGATTTGCATGGCCTCGTTGGCCTCAGCCTCCCTTCGGGTCATTAAAAACAAGAGTGCAGCCGGGTGGTGGTAGCACACACTAATCCCAGCACTTGGAAGGCAGAGGCAGGCAGATCTCTGTGAGTTCGAGGCCAGCCTGGTCTACAGAGCTAGTTCCAGGACAGCCAGGGCTATACAGAGAAACCCTCTCTCAAAAAAAACAAAAACAACAAAAAGAACAAGGTTGCTATCAAACCTGGTCACCCTTCCCCTAGGGTTCTGCTACTGAAAGTCCCTCAAATCCCCTGACTGAGTGTCCAAAGTTCTTTTAGACTACACAATATCTCTCTACACACTAACAATCCTGTTTCTCCCAAGGAGAACACAGAGGGGGAAGAAGAAGGATGAGGGGTCATGAGAAGTTGGGGTGGGGTAGGGAGTGGAGGTGGCAGGTGACCGAGGGGCAGGTAAGCAAGAACTTGGCCTCACCCTGCTGCACCTCACTCCTCCCCACAGGATGCTGGCCCAGAAGCAGAAGCACTCCTTCGGTCTGCATGGGGTAGCATGTATGGGCACAGAAGCCCACCTCTCCCTCTGTTCTCTGGAGTTCTATCGTGCCAATGACACCACCAGATGCCCTGGGGGAAGCCCTGCGGTGGTGAGCTGTGTGCTAGGCCCTCTTTATGCCACCTTGACTGGTCAGAGGAAGCACCAGCAGACGAAGCCTCAGGGGGAGGTATGTCACGCATGAATGTTTTCATTCTGCAGCACTGAGGATGACACGTGATAGGCAAGCCTATCGTTCACCTACACCCCCAGCCCAAGACAGTCAATGGGACCTTTTCCCACCCAGTGTGGGAGCTCCCTAGCCCGTCCTCTACTCACTAAGCACAGCTCTGATCTTAGAAGACACGGAACCTTCTGGTAGCTGTGCCATAGACCTGATGACACCCACTGTCATTAAAATCTCATTCAGCTCTTTGGGCTGCATAGCCCTCCCTAAACCACTGTTTCTTTTTTTTTTATTATTATGTATAATTTATTTATTTATTATGTATACAATATTCTGTCTGTATGCCTGAAGGCCAGACCTCTTTACAGATGGTTGTGAGCCACCATGTGGTTGCTGGGAATTGAACTCAGGACCTTTGGAAGAGCAGGCAATGCTCTTAACCACTGAGCCATCTCTCCAGCCCCCTAAACCACTGTTTCTAATCACCTCTTTGGACACGTCTGTCTCCTACAGGCCCGTGTGCGTCTAAAGGGCGGTGCCAACCCGGGAGAGGGCCGAGTGGAAGTCCTGAAGGATGGCACGTGGGGAACAGTCTGTGACCGAAAATGGGACCTGCAGGCAGCCAGCGTGGTGTGTCGAGAGCTGGGCTTTGGCACTGCTCGAGAGGCCCTGAGTGGTGCCCGCATGGGGCAGGGTGAGGGGAGCGGATGTTCACACTACCATGGGTACATTCCTTAGGAAGGTATGGAGTCCTCTGGGCAATGAAGGTCAGTTACAACCTCCTCAGCCTTGACTTCCAACTCTAGGCATGGGTGCGATCCACTTGAGTGAAGTCCGGTGCTCTGGCCAGGAGCCCTCCCTCTGGAAGTGTCCCTCCAAGAACATCACAGCTGAGGACTGTTCCCATAGCCAGGACGCCGCTGTACGATGTAACCTTCCCTACACTGGAGTGGAGACTAAGGTCAGTCGTGCACTCCACTTTGGGTCTTTCTACACAGGCCCAGAATCCAGAACACAGCTTGCCTGCATCCAGCCCTTTATCCCAGGCCCACACAGCCCACAGCTCCCACAAACCCTGCCATTTGCTAGTCCTTTCTCTGTCTCTGCTCCCTGCTGTAGCCTGTCACCCCCAAAGCTTCTCCTGTACCTCTACAGATCCGACTGAGTGGGGGCCGAAGCCGTTATGAGGGGCGAGTTGAGGTGCAAATAGGGGTACCCGGGCATCTTCGCTGGGGCCTCATCTGTGGAGATGACTGGGGAACACTGGAGGCCATGGTGGCCTGCAGGCAACTTGGTCTGGGCTACGCCAACCATGGCCTGCAGGTGAGTGGGGAGAAGTGGGAAACCAAGCTGTTGTCACCAAAGTCTGTGCTTTGGGCAAAGGACTAGAAGCAAGTCCTTTGGCCCTGGAAACTGGAGTCTATGGCCTCACCAGAACTCCTCCCTACACGCCCCCCAGGAGACATGGTACTGGGACTCGGGGAACATAACTGAGGTGGTAATGAGTGGAGTGCGCTGCACGGGGTCTGAGCTGTCACTGAGCCAATGTGCCCATCACAGCACCCACGTCACCTGCAAGAGGACCGGAACCCGCTTCACTGCAGGGGTTATCTGTTCTGAGAGTGAGTGACGGCTGGGTAGTGTGCGCTGGAGAAGGCAGGCCTGGACCAGCCCTCCCTTGGAGGAGATGCGCTGTGATCTGGAGGGGCACTCCTCGGCCGTGAGAACCCAGCGTCCCACAGGGAGCTGGAATGCCCACAGCGGTAACTCCATCACTCTTGTCCCACGCAGCTGCTTCGGACCTGCTGCTGCACTCCGCACTGGTACAGGAGACTGCCTACATTGAGGACCGACCGCTGCACATGCTGTACTGCGCTGCTGAGGAGAACTGCCTGGCCAGCTCCGCCCGCTCGGCCAACTGGCCTTATGGCCACCGGCGTCTGCTCCGATTCTCTTCCCAGATCCATAACTTAGGAAGAGCTGACTTTAGGCCCAAGGCTGGGCGCCATTCTTGGGTGTGGCATGAGTGCCATGGGTGAGAGGGCAGACGGGGGCCAGAGAGACAGGCAAGGCTGCAGGGGATGTGACAAGCCTGCTGGAATCCGGGAAAGAATCACAAGTTCCCTTGTCCCACAGGCATTACCACAGTATGGACATCTTCACTCATTATGATATCCTGACCCCCAATGGCACCAAGGTGGCTGAGGGCCACAAAGCTAGTTTCTGTCTAGAAGACACCGAGTGTCTGGAGGGTGAGTTGAGGCTAGAGTGGACTTAAGCCCAAGCATTGTCTTGCCCTTCACTGACATATAACCCTCCCTTCAGATGTCTCCAAGAGGTACGAGTGTGCCAACTTTGGCGAGCAGGGCATCACCGTGGGATGCTGGGATCTCTACAGGCACGATATTGACTGTCAGTGGATTGATATCACAGATGTGAAACCAGGAACCTACATTCTCCAGGTGCCTGGCATCTGCCTGGGCTTTCGGATACTGCGGTTTGGGGTGGGTGGTGGAGACACCTTTGGACAGGAGGAGTGCGGCTGGGTCACACCAGCCTTCTTTCTAACTCACAGGTGGTTATCAACCCGAATTTTGAGGTGGCAGAGAGTGACTTCACCAACAACGCGATGAAGTGTAACTGCAAATACGACGGGCATCGCATCTGGGTACACAACTGCCACATTGGTAGGTGATGAGAAGGGCAAATGGGGATAGGAGAAAGCTTTCATCCCTGCCTGTTTTCTGCATCTCCCCCCCAAGACTCTGCGGGGAGCCCCCCACAGTGCCTGTCTGCTCTGCAGGTGATGCCTTCAGTGAGGAAGCCAACAGGAGGTTTGAGCGCTACCCTGGCCAGACCAGCAACCAGATCGTCTGAAATGGCACCGCCCTCTCAGCAAACCACCACTGACCCCATGGCAGGGGTCTGAGGCTGCCATTACGTCAGGAGCGCCCCACAAGAACTCCTGATGTCAGCAGGCCCACTACACCCATCCAGCTGTGCACTGCCGATGACGAACTGGTGAACAAAAGTTGGTGCGTCCCCTACTGGGCCAAGCACGGAGATTCAGTCAACAGACAGCACACAGAGAACTGCCCACATGTGCCGGCAGCAGCGCATTCCTTGAACAGGGAGGTCCGGGAGGTCAGCTCTCACGCTCTCCTAAGTGCCGCTTTACCTCTAGCCTTCTGGTGGGGGAAAAGATCCAGCCCCCGTTTTTGACTGAAACGTGTTGCTAGATATAATTTTATTTTATATAAAATGTGTTCTTCAGAGCCCAGGATTGGTACTGGTGGTTAGAGGAACCTGCCCTCTATAGGTCCATTGACTCCTTGGCCCAGGTGCACTCAGAACCTAGGCTAGGAAGGCAAGAAGGAAATCAGGGCAGGAGTTTCATACTCTTGCTAGTCCAGTCATTCTGTGACCTCAGGGGTCACATATAAGGTCAGTGTTTCTGATCCCCGCCGGATCCGCACTGCCAGCTGTGATTGGGTTCGAACAGCCTCGTAAACATCTTCAGCACTTTGTACCGTTTTCTCCCCGATGGCCAAGATCACGTCACCGGGCCGCAGACCAGCCCTGTGGAGGATGAGCAGGGAGAGGAAGGGGTAGACAGCTGAGTTCAAGGGTCCACGCACCCCATTCAACCCACCTCACAGAGCAGGGCTTCCATCACCTGTGTGCAGGGGAGCCCAGGATAACTTTGTGGATGAGGACACCGTGCTGAACATCAGGAAAGCTTGGCTCTCGGAGCTGCAGCTCAGCCAGGATGCTGGAAGGGTACAGACCACCCTATTAGCGGCACCCAGGCCCTCTCTCATCTTGGCAGGTCGCTGTTTGTCATCCAGTGTTTAGGAGGTGGGATATACACGTGAAAGGTGCTGATTCCAAATGACGCGCAGTGTGAAACCAACTGCACTTGCGTCACTCTGGAATTCCACCTTGAGGAAAGGCAGGACCTAAGCTGAGCCTAGAAGGATGGGTCCTACCAACCGTATGAGATAAGAAGGTGTTAGACACAGAAATGAGCCGGGTGGTGGTAGCACATGCCTTTAATCCCAGCATTAGGGAGGCACAGTAGGCAGAGCTCTGTGAGTTTGAGGCCAGCCTGGTCTACAGAGCAAGTTTCAGGACAGCTAAGGCTACACAGAGAAACCCCATCTCAAAATAGGAGTAGAAAATCAAAGTGGTTCTGAAGAAGCTACAAGGTGGTTAGAGATAAGTGGAAATGGCCCTTTAATGCTAGCTCCATGAAGATTCTGAATCACAGCAGTGAAGCAGTAACATGATATAGCCAATCTAGTGACAGGTACAGGACGCGGTAGGATGAGAAAGTTATGATGAAGAGGGATGAGCTCTTGCGACAGCTCATCTTAGATAAAGACAGACATGAAAGCAAAACCGAAAACAGAGTCCAGGTGCCCCCCATTGTCCCCCATCTCATGACCCATAACGGAGCCCAGCTGTAAAGCACAGACACACTCGTGGTCCTCCAGACCATAACCCTAGTATAACTTGGACTCAGAGTCAGCATCATACCTGGGAGTCAGAGTCAGCATCATCACTCCAATGTAGCGGCGCTGGGACCCACTGATTCCAAACCAGGAATCTGTAAAAAGAGGACAGATGAACCCACCCAACTAGACCTGCTTTCCCTCCCTCCTACCAGTAGAGCCCTCTCCAACAAGTTGCAATGAACGCCCCTCCCCTATGTCCCACCCTCCATTTTAAAGGTGCCCCTTTCCTACTAAGAAAGGCTCACTTTTCTTTTCCCCGCGGTGCAGAAACTCCCTAAGGCGATCAGAAGGGATGGCAAAGGAGATTCCAGCTGTCACCTTCATGGTGTTCACTCCAATCACCTCCCCATCCTGCAGGGACACAGCCCTCTGTCCCCTAGCCCACACAGATGGCAGAGCAGCAAGGATTTGGGGGCAGGGGTCTGATTGGATACCAGGAGATAAACAAGAAACTACAGAAACTTAACCAAAAATCCTTAAATGAGAGAAAAAGCCACCATTCCCCCACACTGACCTGGGGTATGGATTCTTTTAGAAGAACATGGCACTCACCAGGTTAACCAGGGGGCCTCCAGAATTTCCAAACTATGAGATAAGATGAAAGAAAACATCAAAGGAATCTGAAAGTCTGTGCCTCTGGGAATTCTATGACTATAGGCATAACCAGGATGTTGGGAAATTCTTCAAATTCTGTTCCCAGCCCATGACCTAGACTGGCTGCATTTTGCAGCCCAACCTCTAATATAGGTCCAGCCACCAGCTGTCAGTTGGTGCCCACAACAGACCGCCATTCCCCCCCAACGCCAACCTAGCTCCACATGTCCATCGGGACGCACATCAATAGCTGCATCAGTCTGAATGTATTCCACGTTGTTTTGAGGAAGTCCCAGGTCCCTGGCTGGACGCTGAGCAGAGCTGACAATGCCAGATGTGATCGTGTTCTGCAGTGCAAAGGGACTTCCCATGGCAACGACAAACTCCCCTTGCCGGACGTCAGCAGAGCGGCCGAGGGGCAGTGTGGGAAGAGGCTCCTTAAGGGAAATGAGTACACCCAAACTGGTAAGTTTAAGAAGGGAGTAAGTGAAGAGCTGCCATCGGACCAGGCCTCCTCCATCCCCACCTTGGTTTGAATCCTCAACGTGGCAATGTCTGCCACAGGATCCACAGCTGTGACCACGGCCTCATAAGTGTCTCCGCTAGGCAGCCTCACTCGCACTCGGCGCCGATCAGCCACCACGTGGGCGTTGGTAACGATGAGGCCATCGGAAGCCACTACGAATCCTGAACCGTTTGAGATGGGGACTTCACGGCCCGAGAAAGGGTGCCTGGGAGGGAGGAAAGCACCGATTACACTGCAGCTGCCACCCCATTCTGCTCACTTGCCTGAGGGCAGTTGGTTTCAACACCTCCCGGTCAACTTCACCATTACCGGTCCAGGATTTCGATATAGACCACAGCAGGGGCAGTCTTCTCCACCACATCTGCGATGAAATTGTACTGGCTCCGGGGAGACTTGGGTGGCGGAGCCGGAACAGCAGCCAGCACCGCGGGAGGGCCCCGCCCCCAGCCCCACAACAGCAGCAACATTGCTCCCCCTGCGCCCACCGCCACCGCCAGCCATTCGCGCCGACGGGTTCCAGAGCTCCTGCAGGCATCCTGGGCACCGGAGTCTGGAGTCCCCAAAGTCAGTCGTGCCCAGATATCCGGGGTCCCAGGCGTCAGACATGCCCGTGATGCAGGGACCCCTACAGGCACCCGGGCCGGGAGGCTGGGGGTCCCATAAGTCATCCGGGCCTGAGGGTCAGGAGTCCCTGACGTCATCAGAACCCGGAGGTCAGGGGTTAACAGGGGACCCTTCCCCCAGAAGATGCCCCCCAAAGCCCTCCATGCCCGAAGGCTCCTGCCTGCACCCCGCCCCGCCTTCAGCGCAGCCATCAGCTCCGCCTCGGCTCTCTCCTTGCCCGCCCTACTATGAGGCGGTGCCCTAAAGCCCAGCTAGCCCACTTGGAGAAGCGAGGCACGCCGGTATCTGTCCAGTGCATGCCGGGAATTGTAGTCCCTTCAGGACCCAGGACGTGCTCTTTTAGGCGTGCGCGCGCACGCACACACAACGCCCCCCCCCGGACGCAAGGCATGCTGGGAGCGCTACCCCTTCCGGGGCGCTTCTGGACCTCGGGTTCTGGCATCCCTGCGGATGCCCGAAGACTCCGCCTTCCCAGGAGCCCCCGCGGCCCTGCGAAGATGGCGGCGACAGAGGCCCTGCTTTCCTGAGGCGGCTGCGATGGAACCTCCCCCAGCTCCGGGGCCGGAGCGGCTCTTTGACTCGCACCGGTAAGCGCTGCGGAGGGAAAGACCGGTCAGCGGGTCCTCTCGGCCTCGGCGCCTGATCGCGTCGCCTCTCGCCGCAGGCTCCCGAGTGACGGCTTCCTGCTGCTCGCGCTGCTGCTCTACGCTCCGGTCGGCCTCTGCCTCCTGGTGCTGCGCCTCTTCCTAGGGCTCCACGTCTTCCTGGTCAGCTGTGCCCTGCCTGACAGCGTGCTCCGCAGGTGCGAACTGCGGTTCCTGGGGAGCCCCCGGGCTGGGCCTGCTTCAGGACCGCACAGTCACCGCCGCCTGTGTCCCCAGGTTCGTGGTACGGACCATGTGTGCGGTCCTGGGGCTCGTGGCCCGGCAGGAGGACGCCGGACTCCGGGATCACCGCGTCAGGGTCCTTATTTCCAACCATGTCACACCTTTTGACCACAACATAGTCAACCTGCTCACCACCTGTAGCACCGTGAGTGGGGGGCGAGGCCGAGAGCGCCACCGGGTGGCCCCCTAGGCCCGAACTCAGTGCTCACCTTTACCCATTAGGGTCTCTTGGGGAACACCGATCCTTTTCCCTCACCCCATAAACAACCCCCTACATGTTGCTTTTTTTTTGTTTTTTGACATTTCCCCTTACTCTTTTCTTCTCGCTTTTTCTCCTCCCTGCTCCCAGCCTCTGCTCAATAGTCCCCCCAGCTTTGTGTGCTGGTCTCGGGGCTTCATGGAGGTGGATAGGCGGGTGGAATTAGTGGAATCACTCAAGAAATTCTGTGCTTCCACGAGGCTCCCGCCCACACCTTTGCTTCTCTTCCCCGAAGAAGAGGCCACCAATGGCCGAGAGGGGCTCCTGCGTTTCAGGTGGGTAAGCGCAGGGCCCTGGCTCCAGTGGAGTGGGTTGTCAAGCTCCTGGGTGAACCTGCCCTAGTTCATTTCCTCTCTGCCCACTCTCTGTCCTGCCCCCAAAATTCTTAATTACGTGGTTATCTGCTTATGTAGTTGGACAGTTTCCTTGTTTAAGGCAAGTATGAGCTGTTGGCTGGGCTACACTGCACTCCCATCTTACTCTCTCTTTTTTAGTTCGTGGCCGTTTTCTATCCAGGATGTGGTACAACCTCTTACGCTGCAAGTTCAGAGACCCCTGGTCTCTGTGGTGAGTGCCTACTGGACAGGGCATTGGGGAAGGTGGGTGTTAGGGTTGGAAGGGAAGTTTCCCACCTCTGGCCCTGGCTTAGACCTCACTTCATTCCCTCCCTTCAGACGGTGTCAGATGCCTCTTGGGTCTCAGAACTGCTGTGGTCACTTTTCGTCCCTTTCACGGTGTATCAAGTAAGGTACTAATTGTCCTCAGTTTTTGGTGGCTGGGAAGTTGCTCACTTCAAGGTCATGGACATAGTGACCTCTGGTTAATGTCAAAATTCCTCCACAGAGGCAACACTTACCTACCACCTCCC